TTCCAGCCTCCCCTCTCATCACCTGGCATGTGCCATCTTAGTGTTCCCATTCATCCTAGGTCTCCCACCTCTCCCAGCTGTTACCCTTCCCATCTCCCATAAGCATCCAGGGGCCCTGCTCCGCCTTCCTACTTTTCTCTTCCTCTTTTGTTTGGCATTTATCCTCTACTCTCCCTCTTTCTTTTTTTTGGTCTTTCCTTGTTCTTTCCTTGCTCTGCTCTTTCTGGTTCCTCCTTCATTCTAGTTTGCCCTCTCTTCTCCCCTTCCCCTTCAAGCCTCCCCTCCAGCACACTCGCATCGATCGCTTTGATTGAGGACATTGACTCAGGTTTTGTCCGGTCTTTTTTGTTGCTTTTAAGATGGCACACTAGCCCCCCCGTTCAATCAACTGCCATCTGCACAAAATGTCAAAAAATGGCTGTTATGCCATCTTATCCAGCGTGAGTCAAATGCCATCTATGTGTGATCCACTATAGATTTGATTCGATTAGATAGAGATCATACGTATGAGAGGAAGGGATATAGGATAGATTAGTATAGTCTATAGTATAAGGGGAGCCCTCACATGGAAACATGACTGAAGCGCATGCACATACATGAATGAAACAGGCTTTGGAAGGGAGATTTCAGACGTCCGTTTTCTCCCCACTTGCCCGTCCCAAATACCAACAGGCAACGGTTTGGGATGCTTGGGTTAGTGAAGTGTGTGAATTAATGCAGTTTTTTTTTGGCATCGTTTTGCATGTCCAGATCAGGACGACCCCACCGGTGTTCTAAAGGTGGGTCAACACCTGAGGATGTTTGACGTAGAGCACTTGGATATGAAATCAGTTCACGGTTCACTGAATGCATGCGTATACGAAGAAGAAAAAGAAGTAAAACAAGAAGAAGAAGAAGACAAAGAAAAAGAAAAAGGACAACAAAGAAGAAGACAGGAAAAATGCGGTGGTACACACACACAGACTGTTCAATATAATATCTATATAAGTCAAGAGTCAATTTAATCTAAGCCGCTAGAATGTGACCAACGGTCAGTAGCTCTGTGGAATAAGTTGCCATGAACTGACTTCAGCAAACCATCGGACTCAAGAGTTGTGCAGCCCCCAGCACCCCAAACTCATTCATCTTCATCCAGAAGCTGGTGAGACGAAACTGCCGAAGAACTTGATGCACTGTGTGGCATATAACCTATGGTGAGCCAAAGGCAATTCCAGCATGGTAAGATGTAAGAGAAGGACGGATGATAACAGAAGAACGGTTCTCTTCAAAGACCGGTTGTCGACCCCCAGGAGGGGCATTCCGATGAGTGTGATGTGGTCATTGCCCAGCGGAAATCGGCGCTGTTGTTCGCACCACAGGGAAAGTATTTTCAGGCAGGGTGGCCTGGGGTGGGGGAGGATTGTTGGACCTTCCCTTGGCCTCGTAGGGTGTTGGAACCAAGCAAGGAGGCGCTCCCAAATCTGCCAAGCAGCAGCTGCCCGAGAAACCGTTGCGGGTATTTTCCTGTACGTGTAGCAGTGTAGCAAGCCAAGCCAGGTAAGTCAATTTGTGTTTCCCGCCAGCATTGTGATATTCTTTTAAATCAAGTTACCCCAAAGAGCAATCTTGGCGGCTGCAATCAATCCCCAGATTCTTGAGTAGTCGGCAACGTATGGAGTTTGCACCTGCATCGGTTGAAGAACCTTGAAATAGGAACATTCCTGGACATTCCAATAGTTCCTTTGTGAAGACGTTCCATCGAGGTTGACATCTTGTTGGAGGCCTTGGCAACCACATGTTTTGTGCCCCACCACAAGCCAGTCTCAGCTCAGATCTTATCGAAAAAAGAACACAACTCCACTAACCAGTGCGAAAGTGGGGGCAGGTTCCCTTCGGGAAGGCTTAGCTGGGGTGCAGTGGGACCTGACCCGGGGCATAATTGTAGACTGTTGATGATGTTGCCGTTGCTGAGTCAAACCTTCCAGTAAACCTCCACATTTGAAGTATCCCTAGGGCTCCTGGCCTACCTCCGTTGAGAAGGTGGGACTGGGGTGGGTGCCAGGGGGGTCTAACCACCTTCTGAGGAGATGGTTGGAGCCCTACGTTATATAGAACCTCTTCATGTGGGTTCTTTTCATTTCTCAATAAATTGTTTCTATTCAATAAACCGTCTACATTGGCTGCACCGATTCCTTTACCTTTGGTCTTTTGCAGGTGGCGCTGACCAACTGCACCCCGCAGGGCGTGGCGCCTTGGGCAGATCTGGGTCATTGTTTCGGCTGCTTTCACCCTCCCCCACCTTCCCTTCCACTGGGAGGAGGTGCAACCAAAAAAGGGACGCTGGGCACATGAAACAATTAGAGCATGGTGGAACACGGTGGAGGAGGGTTGACTGCGCATGGCAGGCGGTGCATGGCATATACCAGGACCCACGGTCGGGGTGGTTAATGGACACACCACCTATATAAACCTTCATTTTAAAGGCCTGTTAACAGGCACCTCTTTGGAAGCCCTGATGTTTAATATGTTGTTTTTCTTCACCAAGCACTCCAATCGAGCGCATTCGGCGCCTTCCGCTCCTGCACCGTCGGCGTCCGCCAGGTTGGCACCTTGATGCTCCACATGGCCATGCTGCAAGGGACGTTGGACCCTTCGAGCGATCAGGCGGTGGAGCTCTTGATGAAACAGTCTCCCGGACGCGAAGTCATGCTGCGGTGGAGCGAGAGCGAACTCCCATTGATGGGTGGACGCGGGGCCGGCTAAGCCGTACCCGACGGATTGGTCCCCTTGGCCCGGTGAATGGATGTGTTCATGCTTTGGGGTAGGCACTGTAGGGATGTGAAGGCGCAAAATGGTTCAGACAGGAACCTTCGACGACTCAACGAGCCTTTGCATGCAGGGGGTTTTGGGGGCAGGGAGACGGAGTTGGGATTCCGGAGCGATGAACAAAGCTGTGAGAGTTTTTGCCACAAGTTTTGCCAAGAACCATGGCTGGAAGTCGCTTGACACCGCGTACAAGGTGCCAGCCAGTTGTTTGAGCCTCGAAGAATATGCAGGCCAATTGCGCAGCCCTATCTGGTGGTTTCTTTTGGGGTGCTTCCTCCACTACTTGTTGACAAAGTTGAGCCATCCCTAGTCCACATCCCAAAGCTATCCCCAAGTCTTTCCCCAGCTTAAATCCGTCTACCGTAAGTCGATGGCTTTAGAACCGCCCCAAAAACACCCGAGTCTCTAGGGCATATCCCCTCCCATCGGTCCATCCGCCGGATCGAGGCTGTGGACGCGCGAGATCTCTATGAAGGCCACGATCGGCTCTCCAAACCGGGCCCTCCATGACAGGGACCTTCCCCACCAAACCGGCGGTCGCGGGGGCCCGCGAACCACCGAAAAACCCTAGGCCAAAACGTATACTTGAGGGTTGAGGGGTAGTCTCAGGGCGCTTCCGAAGTTCAGCTCAGCGGCCAGTGACGGCCACGGTTCGGGTTCCTCGCCAGGAGGTGAAGATGAAACTGAGAAGAGAAAAAAAGGAAACCAACGGCACATGCTTCGGAGATGCGTCGGGCCGATAGTAGGCACGGCCAGGTTTTGATTTTTGGTGGGACCGGCGCAGCAGACCACCTTGAACTCACCAGGCCACAAACACCACTCAGACGGTGCGGACGGCATGTGTTTCTTTTTTTTGACCACGCGGGCGGAGATTGAGGCCTTTGTCGAGGCCGTTCTGCCGGGAGAAGTCTCACCGGGCTCGGTGCAAGCGGCGCTCTATGTGCAGGGATTGCGCTACCACAGCGACATGGATCCAAGACCCGGCCGTGGTGGGACGTGGGCGGCGGATCTTCTAAGACTCTAAGCCATCAGATGGAGCAAAATTCTTACGACATAGATGCCACAGGTTTTTAGAGCTGTCTCATCGTACTTGGGTGTGCCATGGTGTGTGCTCATCGGACTTGGGTATGCCATGGTGTGCTTTCCTCCGCGACCCATAAAACTGCCATAATATATGCCGATCAGGCCAGGGGTGGTGCCAGGGCGGTCAATGTAGGCATATATTCCAGTCCCATGGAGTGTTTGGGGTGTGCTATTGCGGCTTCTGTAGTGACCCATGCCATGCTTTCCTCACTTCTTTCTTGGGAATCACTGCCTTGAGTGGTTGGGGAGGAGCTGCTCGGTGATGTGCTTGGCAGATATGAGTATAGACATGAATCGTGGATGGTGGTCCATGGTAGTCCTCCGGCTTGGCACTACGCTCTTGCCGGGACTCCGAAAGAAGATCAAGGAAGTTATATAAACGGATGTTAAAGGTAGCACAAGCATGCAACAACACTTTGTTGCTTGGCAACCTTTGAACGCACATATGCCCCAAATTGGAGATCCTGGCACCCCATGGTGAATCAGACATCCACTTACTGTATATATAATATCATCTTCCAATATCCTCCAATCCTTTTCAGTCTCCATTTCCCCATGCCCATCGCCATTCAGGCGCCAAGCAGCGGCGCGGGGGACTCGCGCCCCTGAGCGCGCCGGAGCAGATCCTGCATACTCTGGCGCGGGAGCAGCGACATTTGGCCTACTTGGAGCGAAACCGAGCGACCGAGCACGGTTCGCTCGAAACCGAGCGACGGACCGCACCTGGAGCACTGACCACCGTGGATGACACAGATGTCTACAGTGGGTCTATGTTGGAAAGCCACCCCAATGGGTCACGCAAAGAGCTTTTCACTCGGGGTTCCCAGGTCCAAGACTGAACTTCTCACTCTTGTTCGGGTCCATGAATCTCCCCACCAGAGTCTTTCACGGTATGCTGAGCCTAAAGTTTGAATCTCATGATTCTGAACTCTTTCTCGCTACGATGTCAGCTTGGAAGGCGTAAACATCGGGCATGATCAATCTAAACCTTAGCCATGCAGCCGAAACCGTGTTCACTCTCTTGATGGTTTGCCTCCTCAATAGTTTCGCTGGCCAGGAGCAGCTGCGAGCCAAGCTGGCGAGCCAAAGTAGCGGCGCCCGCAAAGCAGCACGGTCTGCCAAGAGGCACGGTCTGCGTGGAAGCCGCGGGAGTGATGGCTACGTGGTTAGAAGGCTACTCTTCGATGTATTTTGATGTGGACATGTGTAACAATGTGTAGATGAAACCAAGGTGTTCCAAAAAGAAGCCTTAGATGGCCTTAAGTAAATGATGGTTTTTAGCGCATTTGAACTCACTTGACATGTCAATTGGGCGGGCTTTTTCCCAAATTTTGATTCACTATTTCACTCACTATTTCGCCAGGCTGAGAGGTTTCCACTGTCCCGTCCTCCGCGTTCGCGACCGGCCCTGCGACTCGGGCTTCCACCAGGCAAGTGGAGCTCTCCACCTTCGCGCCCGCACATGCCGGGCTCCCGCGGCGCTTCACGCCCAAGGCCGGCTCTTCGGGGAGCCGAGTGGAGCGTCTCGTCGTAGAGTTGGAGCACTGGAGTGTCCACTTCATGCGAAGTGAGATGCGTGCTTGGATGGTATCGGGTTGGGTATCCCAAAAAAAACCCAAGTGCCTTGGGGAGAAGAATGGGCAGATACAAAAAGACCGATCGAGGGAAGGGAAAGATGGGAAAGAGAAGGGGCAGAATCAGTGGCGGCGAGTCCAGACTGCAAGTCATGCGGAGGTCTCAATGCAACGTGCAGTTTTCTTTGTTCCAAGTTGGCAGCTGTAATCATGTAGTGCGGCCTAGGGCATCAATACTTCATGGCACCAGAAGGCCTTGATTCACATCGACATCGAATGGTGTGAGTCACGCGTCCTGCGGATCATTGTCATAGCAGCTAGAAGCTGTGGAGAAGCGACAACACCTATATAGAATATCCTAGAATCTAGCTGGTACTCCCGGGCCCCATTGAGCATTCTACAATGCGGGCCCATATTCGTAGTTTCAATCAAAGGAGCACTTGCAGGAACATGTTGCTTGCAGGTGGTGTCCAGTTTCCTTTGGGGTTGCAGTTTCCTGATGAGATCTGAGTCCAATGAGTCCAATCTCGTAGCCTGGTGAGCACTGAGACAAGGAAAAACATGAGTTTGTCGGTGCCAGGAGATCTCGGATTTGAACGTTTGCAGGGAAGCCTCCGTCGCTTGGAGCAGCCTCCGGGGCCCGGCCTTTCTTCCAACAAGTGTCTTTTGAAGCGCTTCTAGAGGCTTTGATTCTGGGCAAAGACTTTGGGGCAGCAAGACTCGCAGCCCGGATTTGGAAAGGGCTGTACACCACACTTGGTATTTACTGTGGTCAGCCCAGGCAGATGCAAGGCCCCCAAGGTGTGCGGAAAGGGCATGAAAGGGCACCTGCCTTGCCGGGTTCAGAATTGTCGGACAGAGGAGAAGAGACACACCAAACAAAAACACAGCTATTATGCCAAGGAGCGGAAAAGCTCTCAGAAGTTCCAGCTTGATATGTATTTTGGGAAGTTGATGTTTACCTTTAAGCCTCTCTTTGGGATCTACGGAGCTTCTGGCACCTCCATGGGCAACACATGTCGGACATCATTCAAGGGGTCCATGTTCCCACAGTCCAAGACCCACATACTTGGGAGGTACCAGTGCCACCAGTCTGTGGAACATTTGCCAGACCTGGCAGCAATAGGAAGAAGTTCAGGGGTCAAAAATGTCCTTTGCCTTGCCTGGGTCCCGCTTTGAGGATCAACTGGAACTTCTTCCCAATGGCTTGTTGTCTCTTGGCCTTCTCTTGGTGCAAGATAGCTCACCTCAATGGTAAGGCCACAAAACGACCAAGTTGCTGGTAACATCTTAGCCACCAGGTCACCAGGGCTGCGTTTTTAGCATCTTTGATGTGGCTGTCCGGACTCCTTGCAATCAGCTGAGAGCTTTTTCTCATGTGCTTCTGGTCATTGCTTGAGACTCCAGACCTCTTTTGATCCTGAAGTTCAGTGGTGGAAGGGCCACTGCCTGGGGGAAGGACCCCTTTTTTCGTCTCAACCGAACAACTTTCATCCAAGTCTACTCCTTGAAAGTGGTGGAGAAGCCTTTGGTCGAACCTTGTGCCATCCGCTCTCGCCGGAAAACGCCAGCCCATAGAGACCCACCAAGCTTCCATGTTCTGCATCAAGAGCTGTGTGCGGTACTGCACGCACCTTTTTCACGACCCGGTTGATCCGGCCAAGCTGGGGGGAGCGGTTGGGGTGGTGCTGTTCCACCGCGTGCTGCTCCGTGGCACGTGGCATCGCCGGGTATAGTGTTTTTTGTTCCCATTTTGGTGTTTGTTGTTCCCGTGGTGTTTCCCTTTCCCGGAATGATGTTTTCTGTGCCCGCAGGTGTTTTCTGTTGCCGCTAGTGGGGTGCTTTTTGTGGCCGCCAAGGTGTTTTTTGTTCCCGGCAATTCTGTGATCCCGCGTGCCCGTTGGTTGTTGGCGGTGCGTTGATATGGCCAGCAATGGAACAAAAATGTCGCGTGAGTAGAGAAAAACTGCTGCACCCGCAACCTCTGGAAGGACAGCGCAATTGAGGAGATATGTCGGTGTGACTTCGCACGGCCAAACAGTTCCACGCAAAGAGCACGCTCCACGCAAAGACCCGCATCTGGGAATGGTATGGAAGGGTAAGGGGAAACATTGCAGCTGGAGTAAATTTCGTGGTGTGAGGGCACGTGTTGGTACATGAGGGTAGAGTGTGTGGCACAAGCTCGGCCAAGTGGCCGCAGTGGTATTGCCGTCGTCGTCGTAGTGGTATATAGGAGTGGTCGTAGAAGTCGTAGTAGTGGTAGTCGTGGTGTGTATAGTGGTAGCGTTAGTTGTAGTTGTCGTATATTGTTGTTATTCTTCTTGTTGTTGTTGCTGCAGCAGTAGTAGTGGCTGTTCTAGATTGAATCTTTTAATCTATGCCAGCCTTGCCTGACATATAGGGTCTCTTCCCAGTGGCTTCGTCGATTTTCTGCACGGTTTCTTTAATACTGATGAACAGAAGTGGCGTCGCATTTTTCAGGCTGTTGCTCTTGCTCCGTGGCTCTTCAGGCTTCAGGCTCTTGCTCTTGGGGCTCTTGCTCCGGGTGTTCTCTGATGATGCTCAGGCCTTGCATGTGCAACTGCCCGAGTACTAGTAGCAATAGTCGTAGCACTAGTAGCAGTACTGGTAGTACTGGTAAAGTAGTAGTAGTAGTAGTAGTAGTAGTAGTAGTAGTAG